GCCCGCACTGGCGAAGCGCGAGCCCGGGGGGGGGGGGGGGATGTTTAAAGCCAACGGGGCGCCACTCATCCTCCGCGCCCCCCTCCCCGTTTGCCCCGTCCGTCGGTCCCTCCCCCTCCCCCCCGGTTACCTTGTTGCAGTGGTAATAGTCCAGGGGCCCCAAGCAAGTGGGCTCGGCCCCGGGCAAAGAACCAACGGCGGTGGGGGCGGAAGGGTAAAACCTAACGTCCATGCCGGGGGTGCGCGCTGAGGAGGAGAAAGAGGCGGCGGCAAGAGGAGGCTCCAGCAGGCATGGAACCGGCTCCTCCGGCGGCGGCGGCTCTGCCTCTGGCTCAGGGAGGGAGGGACGGGCAGGGGAGGCGGGGAGAGGGAGGCGGGGAGGGAGCGCAGCCCAGAGCCGCCTCCTCTCGCACTCTATTGTTCCAGGCACCGAGGCGGGGGGGAGGGAGAGGGAGGAAGGGGGAGGGGAGAGAGACTGGAACCTGCCGGGGCTGGGCTGGGCTGGGCAGGGCAGGGCTGGGCGGCCTCCCAGGCGCGCGACGAGACTGCTGCCCCAGGGCAGGAGGCTCTCTCTTCACTCTCGCGCACACGCCTGGGAGAGGGAGCGCAGCTGCCCCCCCCCCATCTCCAGAGAAGACGGACCCGCGCGGAGAGGGCCCGGCCAGTGCCAGCTCCAGAGGAAGACGCTCGCTCCCTCGCTCTTCCCCTGGGAACCGCCACACAGTCCTCCAAAGTTGCTCCCCAAACACCCCCCCCCAAAAAAAAAACACAACACAACACGGCAGAGAAGAGTGTGCTGGGGCTGCCCCTCACCTCAGGGGAGAGGGACAGACGAGAAAGCTGGGGGTGGCCGTAGGATTGGACTGGCTTTGCCTGCGGGAGGGGGTGGGGGAGATCTCGCACTGTGAAATTGTTTCCGGCAAAACCCCTCAGGAGACGAGGGGTTCTCTCCCCAATAAACTTAAAGAAAAGATACCATGCGGATTTTTTCTAAACCTGACCAGAATTTACGGTTCAGATCTACTAGCAAGAGAACCTGAAGGAAAACAAACTTCCGTCCAGGAATTTGGGCTTAGCAGGTGTGCAGACCTGATTTCTAGCACAACCTCGCATCACAGAGGAGCTTGGACAGGATACATTCCCTGCTGGGTCTTGCTCTCTATGTCAACCCGAGAACCAAGGGTCATTTCGTAGAAAAAGAGGTGCAGGAGCTCATTAGCATATCTCATTAGCATAATTTTTGCATATGCCACACCCCCTGACATCACCGTGTGTCAGAAGGCAACACCCACTGCTCAGGCTCCACTGAACTGTTTTTGATTGCTAGCTGTTGGGGGGGGGGGGCAGATCTGTCCTCGCAGAGGAGGGAGAGCTTGTACCTGAATAAAATTTGGTCTTAAAGGTGCCCCTGGACTTTTTTGGATGGGGGGCTATGGGGGGGACGCTGCTTCTTGCTTTGACTGAGGGCTGCTGGGAGCAGGGGGTGGAGCTTGTTGCATGTGCCCGCCCTCTGGGCTCTTTACTGCCGGAGCTCTGCTCCTGTGTGCTCCTGCAGGAAATGACCCTTGCTGAGAACTAATGCTGAACCCTCCCTTGCCCCTGCAGCCTCCACTGGGACCTGTCTACACAGTTCCACATAGGCACAGGATTTAGCTTGGATGCAATGTTCTCACTTGCTCCCACTATAACTACACAGAAATGGACTGAATTCTCCTGAACGCTATGAATTTATGCTGGATCTCATCTTCTAACAACCTCTACAGCAAGGAGGCCTCTTCTGAACACAAAAATGGTACCTCCTCCCAACACTATAGCCTACAAAAGGAACTGAGAGCTGTCCAATGTTACCTTTGGAGAAGGATTGGGTCCTCCCACTTCTGTGATCCTGAGCTGTTTCCCTTCCTATACAGTACAGCCTTTTAGTACATGAGCTATTCTTTTCTCCCAACATAACCTCACATAGCAGGGGAGTTGGATCAGGATACACTTCAATCATAATATAACGCTGTTAGCAAAACAATGGATTCTAGGAAGCCTTGATATATAATGTGGGCTTGTTAGCTGTGCTGAGCACTTTTTCCAGTGTAAGATCAATCAGAAATGCACTGTTTGGGCTGGAATGGGGAAGATCATGTAGATTTCTGAGGGAAACCTTTTCCAAGATTGTATCCTTCCCCAGAGGAAGGCACTGAATTCCCCAATAAATAGTTGACAGCACCTGTGGAAACACCCCCCCCCCCATTTCCTGCCACTTTAGGGACAGCTGTTCTGTTTTTACTTCTGGCTGCCGTCTGATAGGTCCTCCACAGAGTGAGTTCAGGGTGAAGCAGGTTAAGGATAGGATGTCTGATCAAATTTCTCTGTTACAAAAAATAACTGTGCATTAAGGATTGAGAAACCTGCTCAAAAGCTAAGCAAAAAGTAACTTGGTCACTACCACCATTGTGTTGCACATGTTCATTGTCCCCAGGCTGTTAAGTTCCTAGTAGTGGATCATAAAACTATAGCAAAAACTAAGAAGGGACAATATATGCTGGGTATAACAATCAGTAAGCGATGTGGTAGAGTGGTTATAGTGTTGGCCTAGGACAGGGAAACTCATATCTCTGCTTGTCATGAAACTAAGGGTGACCTTGGGTCAATCGTTCTGTCTCAATCTAACCTACTTCATAGGGTTG